CTTCTTCTTTGCCAGTCTGAATGCCTTTTATTTCTTTTTGTTGTCTGATTGCTGAGGCTAGCACTTCCAGTACTATGTTGAACAACAATGGTGAGAGTGGGCAAACCTGTCATGTTCCTGACCTTAGCGGAAAAGCTCTCAGTTTTTCCCCATTGAGAATATTTGCTGTTGGCTTTTTGTATATGGCTTTTATGATATTGAGGTATGTTCCCTCTATCCCTATATTCTGAAGAGTTTTAATCAAGAAAGCATGCTGTATTTTGTCAAATGCTTTTTCTGTGTCAACTGAGAGGATCATATGGTTCTTATCCTTTCTTTTATTAATGTAATGTATTCACATTGATTGATTTGTGAATGTTGAACCACCCTTGCTGCCCAGGAATAAATCCCACTTGGTTGTGGTGAATAATCCTTTTAATGTAGTGTTGGAGCCTATTGGCTAGTATCTTGGTGAGAATTTTTGCATCCATGTTCATCAGGGATATTGGTCTGTAATTCTCCTTTTTGGTGGGGTCTTTGGTTTTGGGATCAAGGTAATGCTGACCTCATAGAAGGAGTATGAAAATTTTCCTTCCATTTCTATTTTTTGAAACAGCTTCAGAAGAATAGGTATCAGTTCTTTATAAATTGTTTGGTAGAATTCCCCTGGGAAGGCTTGCAGCCCTAGACTCTTGTTTGCTGGGAGATTTTTGATTACTGCTTCAATTTCCTTGCTGTTTAGTGGTCTGTTCAGGTTTTCTATTTCTTCCTGTTTCAGTTTTAGTAGTTTATATGTTTCCAGGAATGTGTCCATTTCTTCCAGATTGCCTAATTAGTTGGCATATAGTTGTTTATATGTTCTTAAAATAGTTTGTATTTCCTTGGTGTTGGTCATGATCTCTCCTCTTTCATTCATGATTTTATTTATTTGGGTCCTTTCTCTTTTGTTTTTGATAAGTCTGGTAGGGGTTTATCGATCTTATTAATTCTTTCAAAGAACTAGCTTCTAGTTTCATTGATCTGTTGTACTGTTCTCTTGGTTTCTATTTCACGGATTTCTGCTCTAATCTTTATTGTTTCCCTTCTCCTGCTTGGTTTAGGCTTTATTTGCTGTACTTTCGCTAGGTCTGTCAGGTGTAAGGTTAACTTGTGTACTTGAGACTTTTCTAATTTCTTGAGAAAAGCTTGTATTGCTATGTACTTCCTCTTAGGACCACCTTTGCTGTATCCCAAAGGTTTTGAACACTTGTATTTTCATTTTCATTTGTTTCCATGAATTCTTTAATTTCCTGGTTGACCCATTCATTCTTTAGTAGGATGCTCTTTAACCTCCTAGTGTTTGAGTTCCTTCCAAATTTCCTCTTGTGATTGAGTTCCAGTTTCAAAGCATTGTGGTCTGAAAATATGCAGGGAATAATCCCAATCTTTTGGTACAGGTTGAGACCTGATTTGTGATCCAGGATGTGATCTATTCTGGAGAATATTCCATGTGCACTCAAGAAGAATGTGTATTCTGCTGCTTTAGGATAAAATGTTCTGGATATACCTGTGAAGTCCATCTGGCCCAGTGTGTCATTCAAAGCCCTTGTTTCCTTGTTGATCTTCTGCTTAGGTGATCTGCCCATTGCTGTGAGTGGGGTGTACTATTATTGTATTATTATCAATGTGTTTATTTAATTTGGTTATTAATTGGTTTATGTGACTGGCTGCTCCCAAATTAGGAGCATAAATTTTTATAATTGTTAGATTTCTTGTTGGATAGACCCTTTAAGACGAAGTATTCCTCTTCATCCCTTACTACAGTCTTAGATTTTAAATCTAATTTGTCTGATATGCCCAGCTCTCTTTTGATGTCCAATGGCATGATAAACGGTTCTCCACCCCTTCACTTTCAATCTGGAGATGTCTTTAGGTCTAAAGTGAGTCTCTCATAGACAGCATACGGATGGGTCTTGCTTTTTTATCCAATCCGATACCCTGTGTCTTTTGATTCAAGCATTTAGCCCATTTATATTCAGAGTAACTACTGAAAGATATGAATTTAGTGCCATTGTATTACCTGTAAATCCCGTTTCTGTAGATTGTTTCTTTCTGGTCTATGCTACTTTTGGGCTCCCTCTTCACTTACAGGATCCCCTTTAATATTTCTTGCAGGATTGGTTTAGTGATCACAAATTCTTTTAGTTTCTGTTTACCCTGGAAGCTCTTTATCTCTCCTTCCATTCTGAATGACAGCCTTGCTGGATAAAGTATTCTTGACTGCATGTTTTTCTCATTACCCTGAATATATTATGCCGGCCCTTTCTGGCCTGCTAGGTCTCTGTGGCTAGGTCTGCTGCCAGTCTACTGTTTCTACCATTGTAGGTTAAGGAGCTCTTGCCTCAAGCTGCTTTCAGGATTTTCTCTTTATTTCTGAAATTTGCAAGCTTCACTATTATATGTCGGGGTGTTGATCTATTTTTATTGATTTTGGGGGGCATTCTCTCTACCTCTTGGACTTGAATGCCTGTTTCCTTCCCCAGATTAGGGAAGTTCTCAGCTATGATTTGCTAAATATACCTTCTAGACAGAAGGTATATTTAGCAATTTATATATTTCTCTCTCTCTCTTTCTTCTTCCTCTGGGACCCCAATAATTCTAATATTGTTTCACTTTATGGTATTGCTGACTTTTCAAAGCCTCCCCTCATGGTCCATTAGCTGTTTTTCTCTTTTCCTCAGCTTCCTTCCTTTCCATTATCTTGTCTTCTATGTCACTGACTCTCTCTTCTGCCTCATTTACATTAGCTGTTAGAGCATCCAATTTAGATTGCACCTCAGTTAAAGTATTTTTAACTTTGGCCTGATTAGATTTTATTTCTGCACAAAGAGATTCTCTAGTGTCTTTTATGCTTTTTTCAAACCCAGCTAGTAACTTTATAATCGTTATCCTGAATTCCAGCTCTGACATTTTACTTATATCCATATCGATTAGATATGTGGCAGAGTATTACCTCTGTTTCTTTCCTTTGTTTTGAATTCCTCCTAGTCATTTTGCCCAGAGAAGAATGCATGAAGAGAACAAAATAAAAAATATCAACCATGACCCAAGCAAAATACACACTAGACACAACCAAAGAGGTCAGAATCCAAAAAAGAGAAGAAAAAAAAAAGGGGGGGGGGAAGAGAATATAAAATCCCAGGTGGATAAAACAGGGTGATCCACTTTGTCCTGGGTGTATTTTGGTCTGTTTGTTAGAAGACACTAAATCCCAAAATTGTAAAGAAAGCAAATTTATATACATATATATACAAAAATAAAACTGAATACAATGAAAGGAAGCCAAAAATGAAGAATATATCTATAAAATATAAATGCAAAATGAAAGTTAAAGAAGACTTAGAAACAAAGAGTTGATAAAATAAGAAACTAGTTGAAAAGGAAAAAAAGAAAAAAGGAAAAGGATAATTTTAAATTGAAAGATAAAAGAATCATGAGAAAAAAACCCTCAAATTCTATATATTTTTCCCTAGCATTGGAGTTCTGCAGTCCTGCATGCTTGGTAAACTTGATACTCCCCTGATGTTTTGCTGGTCATCTGGGGGAGGGACCTGCTGTGCTGATTTTCAGGTGTCTTTGCCTGGGCAGAGTTGCACCACCCTTTGCCAGGGGGCTGGGCTCAGTGTAAGCTGCTTTGGGTTCTTCTATGTGGCTTTTGTTCCCTGAAAGCTTTCTGTGCCACTTTAGAGGATGAAAATAAAAATGGCAGTGCCCTGATTTCCAGCCCTGAAAAATAGTGGCCCCCTCTCTTCATTAAACCCTCAGGGAAAAGCAGTCTTCACTTTTCAGTGCGCCAACCTCTGCAGACTCCTGCTGTGTGCACCCATACCAATCCTCCTGTGGAAAGGAGGGTTGCCACAGGCCTGCCACTTGCAGGACTCCTGCATGAAGAGCAGTTGCCCCATCCTGCCAGTTTGTGGTTTATGGCAAACCGAGCTGCAAGCCCACTTCCGGGCTCACTAACCATAGCCAGTTTCCCTGCTCTAATGCTTGGGAACTCTGCCAGCTCAGGCATCCCCGTTCTTTCTGTGACCCCAGGGATCCTGAGACCACACTATCCCATCTAGGATTCTGCTCCACTTTGCCACGTGAGCACCTTTCAGGCAGGGGCATCTCTCAGTGGGGGAGACTTCTAAAAGTTCCAATTTTGCATTCTGGGGCTATATCACTTTCTGGTAGCCAGTTTATAGAGGCTCCCGCCCCCTGACCGTTTATTGTACTATATATCTCCTCCGATTCACTTCTCCGCACCTCTTCCTTACCAAAAGTGGTCACTTTTCTATTTGTAGAATTCCAGAAATTCTTTTCTTACATCTCAGGTTGAATTCATAGGTGTTCAGAATGATCTGACAGTTATCTAGCTAAATTCAAGGGACCAGATGAAATGAGGTCCCCTACTCTTCAGCCATCTTGCCTCCCTCTCCCAACTACAGTAGTTTAGATAATATTTTACCAAATGGGCTTACCTAACATCCTTGGTCAAGCTGTCTATTACATGGTTGCCACACATATACCCAGATTTATTTGGTATTATCTGATGTATGGTACAGGTGTCTGGTCAAATGGTTACTAACAGAGAAGTATGGAGCAGAGCCATCTACTCTCAGGTCCCAAGAAATAGATGGCCCCATAATAAGGTGATCAATTCTGATCTGCTATACAATCAGGTGGAGCCTCTTTTGTCAAAGGTTTGTAAACTGAAAACTACCATTTTTCAAATATAAGTGATTCTTATCCTTTATCCTTCATCCAATTAGCAGGATTCTACTTATCTAGAATGGCTGAGTGGCAAACTAAAAGTGACATATTCTTGAGGTACCTTTCTGGACATTGGTGACATTCTAAATATAGAGTCAACATATCATTGTCAACACGAAAATTTGCTATGTATTAAGGAAAGACTTGATTCAGCTGGTCTATGATCAATAACTAGCAAAATCTCTTAGATGTTATGAGCAAAAAGGAAAAAATTATATACATACTTCAGATTTTAATATATTCTTCAGCTTGTTAACCTCCAAATTAGTATCTTGGACCTTCTGCTTTATGTCATTAAGTTCATTGTGCGTATCATTCAATTTTTTAGACAGGGCCTATAAGAAAAAGATAGCTAAACTTGACTACAAAAAAGTAAAAAATTGCTCTATGTCAAAAACTACCATAAATTTTAAATGTTTGTAATAATGATAAATAAAAGTTAATATACCTAATATACAAAACTCATAAAAACCCAAAAACCCAAAATCTTCATGCCTTTTAATATCACAATCTTTGCCTTAAGACCTTGCAACTCCTTCCAGTGAGTCGAAGTCCATTAACCACACCTCTATCTAAATTTGCCTTCACAATTTGTTTGGCTAATGGAACAATAAACAATATAACACAAATATAGGCTTGAAAATTATTTATTTATTGGGACTTTCTGTTTGCTGCTTTTGGAAATACTGCAACTATTACCATGTGAATAAATCTGGGTGAGGCTGTGGGATAATAGGAGACATGAGGCCCAACATCCCACTAGGGAAAAAAACAAAATAAAAAACACAAAAATCAAAATAGTAAATGAGCGAAGAACCCAAGCAGACAATTCACAAAAAGGAAGCACAAGTAGATAATACTTGAAAAAAGTTAAAATTTACTAGTAATCAAAAAAAGTTTTTAATTTTTTAAAATGTTAAATTTTTACATATTAATTTTAAATTTAAAAAAATTTTAAAATTAAATACTATTTTGCCTATCAAATTAGTGAAGAATTAAAGTTATTCTGTTACAGCAAGAAATAAGCATTTCCATGTACCTTGGAGTAAACATAAATTTGCAAAAAGCAAATCTATGATCTGCTATCTGCTATCTATAATCTAGTTCAAGAAACATTTTTAAATGCTCATAAAAACAGGAAAGACAAATATGTTGCTTGTTGAAGGTGAGACATAGATACATAAGTACTCACTACCTTTGAAAATGTCCACTTAGAAAGGTTTTTTTTTAATTTATAAAACAAGCCTAAGCTTTGATTTGAAACTAAATCTAGTAAAATTTAACATAAAGAATGTTCACTAAGGCATTATTTGTTATGGTGACAATATTTATTCACATTAAGTGAACGATGCAGTAAATAATAATATCTACATAGTGGTATAACCACATGCAACATTATGTATCTATGAGAAATATTTAGAATAATTTTTACTAACAGAGGAAAATGTTCATCTATATTTTGTGAAAAAGTAAGGATAAAACACTAAAAATATTTCATCCCAATTTGTTAAAAATTGTGGTTTTGAGGATGATATTTTTTAAAGGCTTCTGCTTTCCAAATTTTCTACGATATGGGTTCTAAACTTGTGGTCCACAGAGGGATCCATCTTCTTGGGCCTGTAACTCAAACAAAGGAAAAAACTACTATTGAACAAATGTAAATTGTTGTAACAACAATTTTTTCTGATTATAAAAAGTGTTTATGAAGCTTTAACAAAGCAGGGTAGTGCTTATGATGTCACAGGAAGCTAATAATAGCTATAAGATATTTATCCAGTGATTATGCTGGACACTCTGATGAGTGCTTTCTAGGCATATTCTCATTTGCTCTCCATTTTTACATATATAAACTGAGATTCAGGGAAGTTAAATGGTATGATCACCCAGACAGGCAGGAGATTCAAACTCATGAGTCTTAAATACTCCACTCTACTGACTTATCATGTAGAAAAAAGGATGATTTAAAATGGCATGTTTTTTATCCCAGTTACATTAAAAAGTTCATGTAAATAAAAGTACAAAAAGTAGGGGCGCCAGGGTGGCTCAGTCAGTTAAGCGTCTGCCTTCGGCTCAGGTCATGATCCCAGAGTCCTGGGATCGAGCCCCACATTAGGCTCCCTGATCAGTGGGGAATCTGCTTCTCCCTCTCCCTCTGCCTGCCACTACCTCTGCTTGTGCTCTCTCTCTGGCAAATAAATCTTTTAAAAAAAAAAAAGTACAGGGGCGCCTGGGTGGCTCTGTTGTTAAGCATCTGCCTTCAGCTCAGATCATGATCCCGGGTCCTGGGATCGAGCCCTGCATCGGGCTCCCTGCTCAGCATGGAGTCTACGTCTCCCTCTCCTACTCCCCCTGCTTGTGTTCCCTCTCTTGCTGTCTCTCTCTCTGTCAAAAAATAAATAAAATCTTTAAAAAAAAGTACAAAAAGTATTTAAAATACATGGAAAATCAGTAAAAAAAATATGTTAATAGTAGCTATTCTGGGTGGTAAAAAGGAAAGTGTTTAATCTAGTTTTTCATAAACATAAGTTACATTTACCTTTAGCCTATTTGCTCTAAGTACACAAAAGTAGATCCTATAAATTCATACCTTTGTTTTTATTGCTATACATTAACTTAAAAAAAACAACTTTTAGAATAGTTTTAGATTTACAGAAAAGTTGTGAAAATAGTACAGAGTCCCCATCTACCCTACGCTTGGTGTCTTCTAATATCAGTATGGTACATTTATCACCATTAATGAAACAATATTGATATATTACTAACTAAAGTCCATATTTTATGCAAAATTACTTCATTTCTGTCCCAAGATCCCATTATTAACTTTTTTTTAATTAATTAATTTATTTTCAGAGAGAGAGTGTGTGAGCAGGGGGAGGGGCAGAAGGAGAGGGAGAAAGAGAATCTCAAGCCGACTCCCTGCTGAGTGCGGAGTCCGATGCGTGCTCAGTCTCACCTGGGCTCAATCTCACCACTGTGAGATCATGACCTGAGCCAAAATCAAGTCAGTCGGACGCTTAACCGACTGAGGCACCCAGGTGCCCCTCATTAACCTTTGACCACAGTATTTTAACATCTCGGCAATTTTTTTATAATTAACAAAGCATTGCAGCTTTATATCTGTTTATGTAAATTAAAACTACAGACTTTCATGATGCAAACTAAACACATTGAGAGTGACAGCAAGTGGGAGGAATCATTTAGACTAAGTCATTTTAAGGGGGGTAAGAAAGCTTCCAAAAAGTTTTTAATGTTCAAATTAAAATAATGATATTGGAAATAAAAAGAGTGGATACACTGAAATATATTGGCTTAAAGAGGGAGTAATTATAAAAGAAACTTTCCCAAAGAATCACATGCTCTCTAGGACCAAAATATGTGGCATGGTCCATACACTCATACTTAAACAGAATAATAGTCCATCAAATAAATCTACCCCTCTCTCAAAAGTTTCTGAAGGCTTTTATCCTTTGTTGATTTGTTCAAATATTTATTCTCAAGTAAGAAAGTACTTCCTAAGGTTTAATATAAATCTATTATATCACCACTCCCTCTCTCCTTTAATACTTCATGTCTGAGAATCTCATTTAGAAATTATGTGACATATTCTGTGTAATAAAGGTTAAAAAAAATGGCTGATTCCAAAGCCCTCAGGCTCTTCCACAGAATGAAATGAGGACTGTGTCTCAGAATAAAACAAAAAATTTTCTTGGAGGAAAAAAAGATTCTAGGTAAAAGTATACCTGGTTTTCTTGTTTAGCTTTAGAAAACTGTTCTTGGAGATTGTCATTCTCATGAGCCAAGATATCTCTTTCCCTGGCAATCTGAGCCAGCTCATCATTTGTTTCATCCAATTGCCGACGCATTCTGGAAATGTCTTGTTCACACATAATTAGGGCTTCGGTAGACTGTCTATTCCACAAGTCATATAGTACATAAGAAGAGACATTTTACCAAAAACAGAATAACAAATTCTCATAAGACAGAAGATGGACAGTTTAGCCATGTTTTAACACATTTAAAATTTAAATATAGTTCATTGGTGTTTCTCTATGTTACCCACATTTCACTATAAAAAGGGATGCTAAATATACATAATAGTCAATGATTTGCTAAGTATTTCATAACTTCTGATGTTCAAGTATAAGAAAGCCTTCATCCTACCTCTAGCTGCTATAGCTTAGTCTTCTTTGCAGGTTCCTCGTTCTCTGTCCTCTGTCCTCTTAAAAATTAATGGTTCTCAGGGCTTAACTCTCAGCCTCTCCTGATTCTTCTCGCTCTACCCCTTCTCTCAGAAAATCCTATTCATAGCATGGCTCCCAGCCCCATCTTCAGAAGAGTCTGAAATCTTATCTCTACCTCAGCCTCTTCCTTAATACTCCAAACTCATATTTAACTGATTACTAGACATATCTACAAGAAAGTCTCAAAGGCTCTTCAAATTCAGAGGAAAATCAGGTGTTTCCAAATACTTTCATAATGTCCAGTATTCATCCCCAGCCAGAAACCTAGCATTCTCCTAGATTCTTCCCCTCACAAGCACCTCACTCCTCTCTCAACTCATCCACCCCAATCTATCATCATCTCTTTGGCCTGGGTAATCTTTCTAACACAAAACTCTCCCCAATTTTTTTAAAAATGATTTCTTATTGTCCAAAAGATAAAATCAAGACTCATTTGTCTACACCACAGGCCTCTGCCTAGTTAGCCCTTCCTTCCACCACTTCTCTTACACTTTGGGTTCCAACACACTCACCTACTTGCCACTCAAGAGGCTCTTGAACATGATCTGTGGTTCTTTACTATTCTTTTTACCTTTACTTGGCTAACACCGCATTTTCTTTTACTTCCCTAGACAGACTTATGCCTCCCTTCAATATTAGAAAGTTATCACCTCATATGTAACACTAAGCCCCTTGTCTCCTACTATCTTTACACCTAACATAGTACTTTGCCCCCAAGAAGTGCTCAAATTCTTGTTGAGTGAATGATTTACCTTGATGCCTGTTCCATCTCAGCAATGATATTCTTCATGCCTGAAATGGTCTTTTCCTTGAAAAATAATGTAAGTATTAAATAAAAAATTATTTTAAACAATTTCTCTTAAAACTAAATGAACAAAAAGAAATCCTCCCTTTTTGATTCCCATTTGGTTTTAAACATTTACATTCTCTTCTTCTTTTCTACACTTTAAAAACTAAAGCATATATGTCAGTGTATTTGTACTGGATAAAAAGATTATGCTTATTAAAGACTACACTTATGCGATATGAGATCAATATAGTAAATACTTTGTTAAAATGTTTTGTGTAGTTGCCCAGCAACACAAAGACCCCATAAGCACCCTGTTTTGTTGGCAAACCAGTGGTTTGGCATTGAAGTGTAGTATTCTGGGAACAGAATTGATTCACCTCCTCACTTCTCCATGTTGTAAAACCCAGGAAAGTGAATCATGTAACACTAATTTAAGTTCTGAGCAATAATAACTTTGATCAAGTAAATTATTTATATTAGTCATCAACATCATCTTCAAAAAGCTATTCCAATTGAATTACTTATAAAAGTATACTATTAATTTTAGGTCTGAGCTAATAAAGGGATAAGCATTAGGCCTAGAGCAAAGATATAAAAAAATAAACTACTGACATTCTCCCTTTTCAAAGGTGTGGTAAGGGAGAATTAATGGAATCAGTTAAGGCTCAGGGTGTGACTATCTTAATGCCATCAATACCATCCCTCTACCTCCTCCTTTTAAAACTCTCATTGATCCTGAACTAGTTACAGATAACTATACACAGATACTTAGGGCTACGTTAGACCTAAAAAAAAAGTAGGAAAATTATTCTTTCACTAAAGAACTACATTTCATTTGCCCTTTGAATTTTCACTTGCCCTTTGAATTTTCAAATCCTTGTTACCAAGTAGCAAGCTGAAACTAAACCCATATTTCCCAACCAGTTCTGTTCCTTTTCTTTAGAGAGACAGTTGGGGTGTGTGTGTGTGTGTGTGTGTGTGTGTGTGTGTGTGTGTGTG